ACAGACAGACAGACAGACAGACAGACAGACAGACAGACAGACAGACAGGCAGGCGGAGAGAAAGTTGGAGACAGAAGAGGAAAAACACACAGGGAGAGTGAGATTGAGTAAGAGAAACCATTTTCATGGAAAGGAAGGATACAAGCAACAACATTTGAAACATGAAAGTACAAAGGCGAAGACGTTGTTATGAAAGACAGTTTCTGTTTACTTAAATCTTCTTTATAAGATTTTGCAGGCTTCTTATTCGGTGGTGCCCATTGGATGATGTATTTGGTTCGGTTCGGTTTCCGGCAGCTTCAGAGCACACTTTAAATAGACCTACTGCCTAGACGGATCACGTTTGTTATTGAAGGTCATCATCGGTTTTGTCGGTTTTGTTCCTCTAGTGGAGGAAAATTGGTCACTTTTAAGGACAAACGGGCTAACCCAGATTTCGGGGGTTTCCAGAAATCTTGACCTACTCCAAAAGTGGGCATTGCCCTGCCTATAGGAGAAGTTTGGTTTCATCGGTTTGTATATTTGTTTAGTTATAGAGAAAGCTCTCCTTGGTTGTTGTTTTATTTAAGAAACTGAACAAGGGGCACAAACTTTACCTTCGATTTTCTCTAAATAGCATTTTTCGGGATAGCCCTCTTGTGCTTAAAAGCAACCCTAAACCTACAAAACCGAACAGATGATGTCAATGGGCACCACCTATTAACGTAGGGTGTATCGGATTTGATTTGCCCAGCAACATTTCGAGGTTCCAGTTAGATATGGGTCAGAGTTCGTGAACTCTTCTTCCAGGAACATAACTTGTCACCCCGGTGTCCTGACAGAACGTCAAGTGCCCTTTCTTCGCAATTAGCTGCATTTGGCCTTGTTCAGCAATACGTTTCTACAATACCCACTGCAAAAAGCTATATGCTGGGGATTTGCTATATTAATTTGAACGCGGTTTTACAAAATTGGGGCGGGAGGATCTATCAAGAGCCAATTTACTAGATCAAAAGCAATGATTTGTAAAAAAAAAAAAAAAACCAAAAAATACCTGCCAAGCAGAAAAAAGCCTACTACGTGACCACTCATCCTAAAAATGAACGCCGAAAATATGATGAAATCAACAAAGGCAAAAAGAAGTTCAAAGCTTATCTTTAAAAAGCAGAGACGACCCGGACTTTTTTTTTCATCGACACGGATAACAAACCATAGAGCGAGACAGAAACGCAAACGCTCAAAAACAGAGAAGCCGCAAGCGGGCTGGACGAATACCATAAAAAGTAAGCATCCACAAA